CGAATCTAATCAAATATTCGCTATTTACGTTTTTCCGTTTTTGAACTTTTTCAAGGAGGTTTTTTTCGTTATCGATTTGGTTTGGGAAATGCGCCCTCAAAAGTTTTCACATTGGAGAGAAAAATGAAATAAAAAAAATAAAAAACATCAGTCATCAGGTGAGAAAAAATTAACACTCAGTGTGCAAGTTTCAAGCAAAGCCTTGAAATGTACCGGATTGCGCACATTTTAAATGATTTTTCCACGACGTCTTTCACTAGTAGATGGAATTTTGAAAAAAATCTGTTTATCCTAAACCTAAATGTGTGCAAAAGTGAAATCCGGCTCGTTTTAAATCGGAAAAAAATGCGTAAAGACGACATGGTGAAAACGAACCCAAAACAGAAAAATGTTTTTTTTGCAACATTTGGTTTTCAACTTTTGCAAGAACCAATCAAACTAAATATTTGCCACTTGCGTTGTAATAAATGAAAAAAAAGTGTGCTTATACTAGGGATGATCGGTATTTAACGGAACCGCTAAAATAACAGTGTTCCAAACGTGTAACCTGAAGCCGTAGTTACAGCTAGCCGATTTAACCGGTTTTTTTGGAACAGTCTCATAAAACCGAAACAGTCGTGCGCACTTCGCAGAAATTGGCATTTCTTAAAAAGCGTTGTACAGTCGACATATTTTTTTATAATTATTTTTGGTGGTACCAAAAATAATTCGAGTTTTACTTCGTCCAGGTTTGCCAAACACGCATTTCTGTTTGTTGTTGTTGTGGATTATTTAATGTTATTGTGAGACGAAATGCGAGAGATTATTTTTTAAAGCGGGTGCTTTCGTAAACGAGCGAAGAACTAGACTCAGTAAAAAGCATCTGCAAAAAAAGTTATTCTTAAATGTTAATTTGTTTTTAATAAAAATTAGATTTTTAAACATTTTCGCATATAAACCGTATATTTTATTTAATCACTCTAGTTTATTATCAGTTTTTTTGTTCTTTAATTAGTTACTTCTGACCCATGTTTTGTTTTTGAATTTAGAGTATTTTATTTTAAGTTTACCAATGTTAAGAATTATGTTTTTAATAAAGAAAATAATTATACATCATCACAAAATTCTGCATTTTTAATGAAAAATTTGAAAAGTAACATGTTCCTCTTGGAACCACATTTTGAAACCTATTACCAAGGTGAAACTGGAACTTTGTAACCTGTTACACAAAAATAACCGTTAATTTTCATTATTCAGTTTTCCTGGTTCTAGCTTATACCCACCGACTGGATAATTATTTAATCAGATAATCAGAATAACAGATCGTTTATCTTGCGCATCTCCAAACACCCTCGCAAAGTTCCAATTTTTTTAAAATCCACACCAATGTTTCTTCATTAATTTCAATAGATGTTGTCGCCTCTAAAAAAATAGACGCTAGTGGGTACATTTTAACACAAAGAATAATCTTGTGTTAAAAAAGATGGCACTGTCCAAAAAACTGCGCAAATTGGTCAGAATACAAAAATTGTTGAAACCAAAGTGCAGAAACTGAATAATTCTGATTGGTTGGTCGCGTCGAATTGAAAGCCGAGTATAAACATTCGGACATTTCGACAATGCTGGTAGAGCATCGAAAGAAAGCGAAATAAATTATCAGTTTCTGCTACAGACGTGCTGAACAGCCTGATAAATCGTTTAAATTTGCATTTAAGCCGTCTGTTGTGGCATCCAACGGCCGGCAATCTTTTTTGACTAAATGCCTTTCGTTCCTCATTTTGCTATCTCTTTGTTTACTCATGATATTCTATTTATCTTGTGTTTTTCGGCTTATGAATGCTGCCGCAAGATTTGTTGGCCGGGATAAGACTGTCCGGATTGAGCGGCGTAGTCTTCCAAATAATTCTTGCTCCAAAGCAACATTTTCTCTTTTCCGCAATTTATGGTTGCGTTCTGGTCTGAAAGCTCGATCAAATCTGTGAACAACAATTTGAGCTTATTGACGCCTGCTTACATTGTAGAGACTTTCCTCTATAAATCTTGTTTTTAACTCTAACATCTTTGAGGTATGAATTTTTGATGGATCGGAATTACGTTGCGTTGAACAAAGCGAGATTAATGGAAAAAATTGATTGATTGGCATTTTTCTTGTTCTTATCGCGGTTATGCAGAGTCAAAGTGCTTTTGGGGGTTTTATTTTTTGGTACACCAGTTTGATAAATTTTTCGTACAATGAGCCCTCTAAATTGAACGCAACCTATTAAACTTTCACGAAGAAAGTGGCTCATAGATTGAAAAACGTCGAGGCCTTTAGATTTCGCAGTGGCGCAGGAATAGTGTAACGTAATGGTGTGGCGAGAGGATGCCGCAATTTTACATCCTTCAAGGGGGTGCGATATTTTTCAATTAATTTTTTTCTCACCTTATTCTTCTTCGCAGGTCGATATCCCTTGATAGAGTTTCACCGGGCAAAGTTATGTCGTCGCTTAACAACAGCAAAGTTCATTTCAGTCGCTTCATTAGTTGCAACTTGCTTTATTTCCGCAAGTTAGTGTTTTTCAACTTCTGACGTAAAATAATAGTAGCTCAACATTTAGTTGGAAAGTTTCAGCTCTCAGACGGCCAGTATAAAGGTAAAGTAGTTATAAACTCCTCGACTTTTGTGTAAAATTTCATTTTTTCAAATTAACCCCTCGACCGGCCAGCTTTTATGGCCCGATCGAAATGTTCGAGAATTCCGCTACTCTCTGATATGTTTGTTTTGAGGCGAGTGAAGCAACAGAAAAGATCCGAAAACATTTAAAGTTTGATACAAAGGTGAGCGAAGAGAATAAAAACAGAGTGTCGCTCAATAAAAGCTTTTAACGAAAAAACCGCCCCTCAGCAGCATTAAATTACTATCAAGAGCAGTTTTCCTCGTTCGCCCTTGGTTGTCTCCTAAACAAGGTTAAGAAACCGGCGGCTTCCAAATAAGGATTTATAACGGCCTCGGAAAAAGCCCGCTTAGCTTTATTGGTGCGAAACTGAATGTGCCCAAGATAAGCTGTTAGGGAAACTCGAAGGTAACAGGCCGGTGAATTAAATATGTATTTTGGCTCAATAATAATTGCCATTAGATAATTAAACCTGAGTGGAACTTTGAACGATTTCTGTCTTGATTTAACTAGGTTAAGTTTGTCAGATCTCAGGCACCTCTAGGACCGGTTTCGCGCCTATCATCAGACGGGTTTAGCCTGAACGAAACACTCCTGCAAATTGTTATTTCGCCTATGTATTTTACACTGGTTGGAAACTCGTCCTGGGGGTGCCTGAAATTAGTACAACTCCACACTTTTTCTCAAATAGATCAGAAACTTTTCAAAGCTCTGATAATGCCAAAAGTTCTAGTGGCTGATTCTAGTTTACGCCACACATTTGATTGTTTGTTAATTTT